CCTCCATGTGCCATTTTTGGCCTGGACGGCCTCCTGCATCCCTTTGCCAGCCAAAATGGGGTGGGGGGGGGATATGTTTCGGGTGACAAGGTGCTGCAGAAGGCCGTCCAGGCTGAAAATGGGGCACGGAGACCATGCATGCCTGCCATGCCCTGTTTTGGCTGGCAGGGTGCTGCAAGGGGTGTCCATCCTTTCTCTCCCCCCTCCCACCGAGCAGCCCGCAGAGGAGAACTACAATGCTGATCCAGCCCTCAAAGAAATCCAGTTGGACACTCCTGATCTAGAAGAATTCTTCGGTATGTTTTAACTTGTACTAAAAGCCAGAGGTTTCATATTTCAGACACTACATAACATCATATATTACTGAGTATTCAGAAGAACAAGAGAAGTCTCTCAATTTTTAAAGAGAATGTTTTTAACATGGTATATTCTTAATAAAGTGGATGCCCAACAAAATAGTTATGCTCTTGATTTCTGAGCACGGATCAAAGACTTGTTAGATTGGTACTGTAATGGTTAAAAATGTTCTTTATTTTATTTAAAACCTAGCCAAAACTTTCTAACAATTTATATGGTTCAAGAAACCATGTACTTAAAAAAATTAGGACAGACGTGACATGGTTACATGGAGCGGAATTAAAGCTTAAGTTAGCAGACTGTATTAGTGGCTTTAGAAAAAAAAATGTGTTATCAAGCAAGGCAAACCAGACATGGCTTTGATGCTGCTCTATCTTGTTAGGGAAGGGTTGCCAGTCAACTAAATGATTCCTGAATGCATCAAAAACACTAAGAGAGAAGCAGCAACATTTCACTTAATCCAAAACAATGTAAACATCACGAAAATGGACATCTTTTGATCACACCGACAAAAATCCTTACAGGTCACCTTTACAACTCTGGCATTCCAACTCTTAGGATATACAATCATCGTCATCATCATCATCATCATCATCCAGGAACAAACAATTAAGGAGGCTTGAAAAAATTGATATTTTGAAATTCTGGTACCTTTCCCACACAAATTATGCAGATAACAGTTGACTTACTATCTCTAAATCATGTAGTATCTTGATGGTCTAGCACAGCTCTCAGCTCAGAAAAAATCCTCCTAAATATAACTTAATTAAATTCATTAGTTTAATCCTTTTCTTTTAAATGAACGTAGGAATTCACAGAGTGGATGAAATGGGCTTTTTTAAAAAAAAATTTTTATTGGTTTTTAAAACAAACATAAACAAACAAAACATAAAAACATCAGGCCATCTTCCATATATGTACATACAGTGTGCCGGTTGGTTGACAAATTGTTCTGTGCTTCCATTTCGTAGTCTTCAATTACAATTACATTGTATATGATCTCGTATTTTCAATCCAATATTAAATACATTAGTATCATTATTAATCAATCATTTGACTATAGTTTTATTCATTCATGCTTTAAGAAATAATCATATTTTACTTAATTTGTTTTGTGACAATTCATATTATCATCCCAAATCTATCCTAAAATCATTTTGTAGATATAATAAGGAAAGAATACATCTTTATACGTTTAATATTTTCTAAAAGTCTACATATTTTGTTACTATATTTTATTGTCTAACCATTGATAGAATAGAACCCAAACTTTATAAAATTGTTTATCATCCTGTTCTCTAATTTCAAATGTCAATCTGCTCATTGGATGAAATGGGCTTTTGAGTGGACGCATAAAAAATGACACCAATTCAAGACAGTTTTTTAAAAATTAATAACAACCCCAATAATTAAAATATGGTCATATTTAATACAGGTTCAGCTTCAAATATTTTGTTGCAAATATTTGTTCAAACATTAATAGCAAAACATGCAAGGATGTGTCAATAAACGGCTACACCTAAAGATGGTTAAAGTTGAAAGATAAGTTGCAATTAAAGGCGCAGTCACATGTGGTTTTTTGTTTTTTTTAATAACAGCTGGTGGTTTTGTCTATTTTTAAGATCTTTCCAAAATTGCAGAAGAGAGGCCTACAAACATTGTTCAACCTTGCAAATTTCTCGGTTTTCTTATTAGGAAAGCCAGTGTCTCAACAAATTAAAGGATTCAAATTCACATTTTGTGGGAAATTATTGTACCCTATGACTTACTGTACCCTATGACTATCATTAAGTGTTGTACCTTGTGATTCTTGACTCTTGACGAATGTATCTTTTCTTTTATGTATACTGAGAGCATTTGCACCAAGACAAATTCCTTGTGTGTCCAATCACACTTGGCCAATAAAATAATTCTTAATCTATTCTATTCTAAAATTGTGGCCATTAAAGGGAGGAAAAAGCAATTAGGATATGTAGATTCCAGGTCTCATATGGGGAAGGGTGTCTTCCAAAGTATTATTGCATTTTTGAAATGGAATATCATTTTTCATTGAAAACAGTAGGACTACAGTAATCAGTTACAATATAGTTGTAATTGTTTTGATCCCGTCTCAGGATTGTTCCTCATGCTGAAGATATGCCTTATAAGATTTATATTTATATCAAAAACTAACAAACAGGTTTTTTAGACTGTTTCCATGCCCAACTTTTTAATGTGCCACTGATGCCCATTCACCTGGCGGTCAAGTGATGCCCCAACAGCCATTCTGTCTTTCTTTTTTCATTTTCTTGATATCTCAAAGACACCAAGCATCAACTCCTTAAGAAAGATAAAATATTTTGCATTCCACAATTTGTGGAATAAAACAACACTGGCTGATTTATTACATGCATAACCCAACTTTCTTCCAGGAGGTAGGGTAATTTATCACAACATAGCACTGTGAGCTACACTAGGCTGGGCTGAGTGACTAGTCAAAAGTGACTGAGTGCTACCATGACTGAGATGGACTTAGTCCAAGCTTGCTCCAGTTCTAGTCCAACATTTTCACCACTATACTCAGGTTCACATATCTGCTAAACCATAATCCGACTTTGTGAAACACAACAGCTCTTTCATATAACAAAGCCACAGTGAAATCAATATAGGTAATCCTCGAGTTACAATGATTCATTTATTTGTTTGCTTGTTTATTTGTTTGTCAAACATATACAAGATAACAAGTATAAGTATGAACTTATATACAGGAGCAAAGGAAGTAAATACAGATAAATGGGGACAGCATGACAGGGGCGGTAGGTATGCTGGTGCACTTATGCACGTCCCCTTTAAGGACCCCTTAAGAATGGGTGAGGTCATTTAGTGCCATTGAAAGTTACAACAGCGCAAAAAAAAAGTGACTGATGACCGTTTTTCACATTTACAACCACTGCAACATCCCCATGGCGATGGGATCAAAATCTTGGCAATTTATGATGGTTGTGATGTTCTGGGGGCATTTGTGATTTTGTGACTTTTTGACAAGCAAAGTCAATGGGGAAGCCAGGTTCCCTTAACAACCCTGTTACTAACTTCCCAGCTGCAGTGATTCACTTAATAACTGGCAAGGCAGGTTGCCAAATGGGGCAACATTCACTTTACAAATGACTCACTGAGCAATACAAATTTTGATTTCGGTTGTGGTCTTATGTCGAGGACCACCTGTACTGTTAGTGCCATGTGAATCAAGCTTACCAACCATCACCTGCATATTAATATTTCTGTCTATAAGAAAACAGATCTACATTGTCCCACAATTAACTGCTAGGATATGGTTCTTAGGGTGATCAAAGTAATTTCAATGTGGCACTCCATCCTCTTTCCCCACCTCACCCCAATCCAACAAGGTAATCAAGAAAAGTGTTAGCTTCTACAATCTAGACACATTTCTAATTTGAAGCCTAGCCATCTGGTGGCACAGAAAATTTAGTTCCCAATATGAATTCAGTCCCAGAAGCAGGCAGGACAAAATGCAGATATTCCGTGTCATCTAAAAGAAAAATATAGCTCTTTCAATGCCTTAATTCGGTTATCAGATTTCTGCGACCGCTCTTGCACTCATGGGATATTTGTTCTCTCACTATTTCACTAAAGCTACTTTGTATTTTGAGAATACAAAGAGAGTATTTTTTTTTCCAGTTCCTTACAGAAAGGTCCAGTTTCAGTTACAGTGTATATTATTGAACTGACTTAGGTTTGTAATTCTTTTGTTTTTCAATCATAAGAGGAAGGCAAGGATTCGTATTCCTATTACACGTGAAAGCCCAAGAAAGCTGTAAAATGCACCCACTTACACCTTTAAAATAAAAAAAAATCTAAAGCATTAGAGGGCAAGGAAGAAAGGGTGAGCTCTCATTCTGAACTTTCTAGTTTCCAGGACAGGTTTTAACAAGCTTTAGTGCTTACAATTTAGAGTTGATCTAACCTCCATTTAATTTTTAAAGAGTGACATCATGAACATCTGCCAGGAAGAAGAATCACATGCTAGGTGGCATTTTGACCTATCTCTAGTCTCGCCAATGACACCATTTTGAGGTTTTTAATGCTTTCACATCCTTTGCATTGCTCCTGCTAATGCTGTTTCAGATTGTTACCGATATATGTGTGTTTCATTCACTGTCTAGACCAGGGGCCTCCAACCTTGGCAACTTTAAGCCTGCAGGACTTCAACTCCCAGAATTCCTCTACTGGAGAATTCTGGGAGTTGAAATCCTCCAGGCTTAAAATTGCCAAGGTTGGAGGCCCCTGGTCTAGACTCTAGACAACATCTTAGATAGCCAATTCTACCAATTTCAAACTCCAGATGGATCACTGCTGAATGCCCATGTTGATATACTTTAAGTGTTACACAACGTTTAAGCTTTGCATGTTATAATAATGTTGCCCTTAATAAGCATATTTTCCCAAGACAGGCCTATTCATTAATTCCAATCACCAAATTATCCGGTTATAGACTAGACAAGACACAGGTGTCAATCACTCATGTACATTTACTACTTCTGTATTTTGGCTGTACATTTTAGGAGACCTGATTGATTACAAATTCATTTATTGCTGGGCATTAGGCACAAATAAAAATATCTTCACATATCAATGACTCAAACCTTTCTGAAAGATACATATTCCGTAGGTCCATGATGGCAAACCTATAGCACTCGTGCCGGAAGTGTCACACAGAGCCATCTCTCCGGAAGTGTCACACAGAGCCAGCTGTCACAGCCATTGTTCCTTTGGGTTCCAGCATGCACATGTGCACCGGCCAGCTGGTCTTCGCATGCATGGGAGTGCTGGAAACTGGAAGAGTAGCTCCCCGGCGCGCATGTGTACTGGCCAGCTGGTCTTCACGCACGCAGGCACACCAGAAACTGGAAGACCAGATGGCTGGCATGAATGCATGCACCGGGGAGCTGCTCTTCCAGTTTCCGGCGCGCCCACGCGTGCGAGCTTGGGCGTACCGGTTTCCGGCACTCCCCATGCGCATGTGTGCACTCCCATTTTGTTACTCTGTGCCGAAAAGGTTCACCAACACTGCTGTAGGTCAACCCAAACGTGACAGTTGAACCAGAGGAACATTATGAAGGGGGAAGCATTATTACCCTTTAGGATAAGCAGGCTCAGATATGCTCAAACTATCCAGATTTATACAAGTCTGTTCTACTTAAAACAATGTTGATGCTCCACAAAAATAAATGAAGCCTGGTAGGATAAGATTAAGGTTACCTGACCCAACGCTATGATGTTCTACCAATGGCTAATCAGATGCCCGATAAGCAGAACAGGAAGGCTATCACATCTTCCTACGTATGTTACTCCAACAATAAGCTTACTGATTCTAATTCTGAAGATACTATACAGCAGTCATGACCAGAAGTCACTGGCGGACTTAAAATCCACATATTTATTGGATCACCGTTTAAAACTGGACTAGTTATGATCTTGTGGAGGTGATTTCCAAACTTTAAGCCTGTTTTGTGTAAATTTTCTCTCATGGATCTCTCAGGACTGAAGGCATCAGCAAATTTCCTCAGATTATAGCACCAAGAAAGGAAGAAACTACTTTTTCTCTACACAAGACCTGATGTAGCTACATTTCTTTTTAACCTGAAGAGATTTAATTCAAAGGAAGTCAAATAATATACTTGAACTATTAACAGAAATTGACAGAATGCTCACTGAGAGTAAAGGATAGGCCTTTCCAGAAGGATGCCAATAAATGGCTTAAGAAGCAGATTTTCCAATTAAAACAGAGATAAAAATCCATTCTCATACGTATGTTTTCCCATTGGCAAGCCTCTGAATGTTCTTTTTTTGTTCTTTTTCAAAACAACATCAAGAAATACCTTCCCTGCCTGGAGAGAAGGCTAAAAACAGGACAAGCTAATCTGTATCATCAGAACTGGTTTACTAGGAATGTAGTTGAGTGAACTTAATCAGACAGAACTATGTTAGCTTTTGGTCAAAACAATATTTTCTTTACCTTTCTAAACAATGTCTGTCCTGGCTTCTAGGCAAGTCAAACCAAGCCTAGTATCACAATCTCACACCACAGATTTGTTTTCAGAGCACTTTTTTCCTCCATTCATTTTTTAATAAGAAATTGAAGATTCCATCAAGACCCACAAGTTAATAAAGTAACCCCTTTGTTATATTCCTTTTGTGTTCCCTCAAACAGCCACAGACAATCCTTAGAAAACATTTGTCATTTTGCGTGATAGAATTTTGGCAGAAATAGAGTACTTGCTTTGTCTCTTGCTACCTGGTAATAGCTAGATGCAGGTAGTCCTTAATTTATGGCCACAGTTGTGCCCAACATTTCTGTTGCTAAGTGAAATGGTTGTTAAGTGAGTTTTGCCCCACTTTGTGACCTTTCTTGCCACAGATATTAAGTGAATCACTGTTCACTTAAAGTTAATAACACGCTTGTTAAGTAAATCTGGTTTCCCATTGACTTTGGTTGTCAGAAGGTCACAAAAGGTGATCATATGACCCTTCAACCATCATAATCCTTTCCAGTTGCCAAGTGTCCAAATTCTGATCACGTGACCGTGGGGAAGTAGCATTCGTAACTGTGAAAAACAGTCATAAGTCACTTTTTTCAGTGCCGCTGTAACCTCTCAACCAGTCAGTAAACCAACGGTTGTAAGGACTAGCTGTACTTCTCATATTATAGTAGCAAACTATCTAAAAGCACGCCATCAGCTAATGTCAGTTCTGTGTAATTTAATTCATCAGGAAGAGTAAAAAGAAGTAAGCCCAGGTTAATACAACTTAACTTGTACTTCAAAGAAAGTTTGCCACAAGCAAGCAAAAAAGAGGTGTTTTTTTAATAAAGATATTTTAATTAAAGCAACCAGTATGAAGGATACATTCAGCATTAGCATTTAAAAACATCCAGTATTTTCCTGAAGAACTCAGTTATTCAAATGATATCATGCACGGCACACATTTTTGAGCTCATGGACCATTTTGAAAAGCAACCGATCAGCATTCCAAAAGATTATGGAATTAAAATATTGTAACGGTAACTTTCCAAATCTGCAAGTGGGCATTGCACACTGCCCAGAGGCTACCACACGAGGACAAATTATGCATTGTAAAGATCGCTTAGAGGTGGGAGATACTTCCAGTGTAATCTACTGGATCCCCTGCATGGGTTGCCCCTGTGACTATGTAGGACACATGGGGAGAAAGCTAACTACCAGATGGCAAGAACACAAGACAGCAGTCGGACGAGGAGATCCGAACTCATTTGTAGCTTCACACTGTAATGAACAAGGACATACATTCAATTTTGCGGCTACTAAGATTGTTGGACGAGCAGGCACAAAAACAGCCAGGGAAGTGATTGAAGACTGGGAAACGGCTCCCTTCTCAGTCAACAGGAGTGCTGACAGTTTACCAAGTACTTAGAAAGTGTGGGCTAGGCAGCCCAAGGAAGCAACAGCCTACAACTTAATAGCCAACCATCAACACCCCAATCACACAACAGGCACCATATAAATACCACATGCAGAGTAGCCCAAAGCACACACTCTGCTAGAGAGAAGTTTCCTGAGGATGGGCTCCAGCACAAGTCTGAAAGTTTGGAAGACTAAACATCTGGTCCCGGGGACCAACCCAGATTGGCTCCTGCAGATGGTTTTTAACTTGGGGACTGTTTAACAACAAAAGAAACACACAGCCTTGGAAAAAGTGACTTATGACCCCATCCTTAAAGCTGTGAGTGTCACACCATCCAGTCAAAAGGTTGTAATCTGGGCAGGTGGCAACCAGCTCACTTTTACGATCTTTGCAGCATCTTGCAATCACATGATTGCGATTTGCAACCTCCCCGGCAGCCTTCTGACAAGACAAGTCAATTTGGGGAACTCAGGTTTGCTGAATAGCCACGTGGTTCACTTAATGACTGCAGTGATTCACTGAAATGACTATGGTTAAAAACAGTTGTCAAATTGGGTCCAGTCACATGGCGACTTGTTTACCAACTGCATCCCTTGGCAATCAAAATTCCAGTCCCAACTGAGGTCAGAAGTCAAAGAATATTTATTATCCAACAATAGGGAGTTTTGTTTTCCAGGGAGAAGGAAAAGTCAGCTAGCAGTCCCATCTTTTTAACATAACAAAGGATTTTTAACCATGGAACAAAGATTTAGTACAGAATATGATATATATTCAGGGATCTATGGTCTTCTCAATAAGATTCTTTCAAAACATTTTGCATTATAACTTCTTTCATCCCCCCGATCAGTACTGTCAATATAGTCAGGGATAATGGAGGTTGCACTATAGAGTATCACAGGCTAGTATATTAACGGCCTATGTATATTTATTTATTCTAATCCACAAACTTGGAAGGGGGGGGGGGAAATGCAAGACTTTGCTCTTTTAATAGCAAAACAAATACTAAAACCCAGAACTTTGCAATCTCCATTTATCTCACCTGAAGGAGAATTTTAATCCCAATCTACTAAATTCTGCTGTCCAGAACGCAAAGTTGGTGTAGTCTAAGGACTTGATGCGGGGCCTTTACAAGGACAAGAAAAGTTGAAAAGAAAACAGGGATGATCAGATTGCTGCAGAGAGTAAGTAGAACATAAGTCAGTCAAGGGAAGGCAGACAGGCCAAGGCCTACAGAATTAAGAATGACCAAAACACCTGAGAGTGATAACATCTCCCAGAGTTTGGAAGACAAATTGAAATGACCTTCCTTGATGTTCTTGTTGACAATGCTATCTTTTAGAGCAGGGGTCTCCAACAGTGGCAACTTGTGGACTTCAACTCCCAGAGTTCCTCAGCCAGCTTTGCTGCTTGGAAACCCCTGTTTTAGAGGGCAGACAAAGCCATTAACAGCATCACCTATACCAGCATTGGCGAACCTTTCCGGAATTAAGTGCTGAAATGGTAGCACTCGCATGCGCACAGGGGAGCGCCGGAAACCGGAAGAGCAGCTCCCTGGCACATAGGTGTGCACTAGGAAGCTGAGCTTCCAGTTTCTGGTGCGCATGCACTCACGAAGACCAGCTGACTGGTGCACATACATGCACCGGAAACCGGAAGAGCAATGGGCGATGGCTGGCGTGCCTGGACAGTTGGCTTTTCGTGCCACTTCCAGCATGCGTGCCATAGGTTCCCCATCATGGACCTATCCTTTGCCTGATCTTAATGGACAGGAAATACAACGTTGTGGAAATCAGGAATATTAGGGGAAAGTGTCCATCTAACCGTCCACGTAAAATTAAATGTAGAGAGTCAGTTTGGTATACAAGTACCAGGTAAGTCCTCGACTTAACAACCATTCATTTAGTTTAGTTTAGTTTAGTTTATTGGCATTGCACCTCGTACAATGAAATCAAACACCATCTTCAGTGCACATTGTGACCATGACCATGAAAATAAACACAAACACACATCCTTCACACATTGAACCGGAAACCCCCAGAAACCGCACCAACACTGCACTATACAACAGAATTCAAAAGAGCTGCTGCCCTGGGATAGAAGCTGTTTTTCAGCCCATTTAGTGACCATTTGGAGTTACAACAGCACTGTGCCATACAACCATTTTTCATGAGGTTGTTGCAGCATCACAATTCAGATGCTTGGCAAATGATTCATACTTATGACGGGTTGCAGTGTCCCAGGGTCCTGGGATTCCCCTTTTGCCACCTTCTGACAAGCCAAGTCAATGGGGGAAGCCAGATTCACTTAACAACTGTGGTGAGAAAGGTCGCAAAATGGGGCAAGCCA